CCAGACCCCCAAAGAAAAATATGTTATCTATCCACTTACATGTTATTATTAACTGTTTAAGTCTAATGATAGCCAAACTGCAATCTGAGGAATCGTAGAAGTTAGGTATAAAGTAAGGGACAAGGTGGGACAAATAGGTCTTGTCAGAAAAGGGAAATAGAAAAGATATTTATGGATAGATTGGAGGCACTGGAAAGGAAAGATCAAGTCAGAAGGGAGAGAGAAGAGGGAGACTGGGGTGAGAATTCAAAGAGAGACAGATAAAATTAAGGGCCATTTGAGAGTTGGTCTGGAAACTTAAAACAGTAGAAGTTTTATAAAATATGTTCACAAGTGGAGGTGATCTAAATGAAATCACCAAATAATCATGGAGCAGAGGTCAAACTGGATATAAATGACCAAATGAAGCTTCCATACTGGAACTAGTTTGGTTATATCTAATTGAACTGTTGACCAAAGGGGTCCTATGAGAATTCCCATACACACCAGGCTGTTGCCAAGGCTGTACAGGTTGTTCTCCACAATTGATGGCAAGGCTACATTGCTGAAGGCAACACCTACACAATTCACTGGACATAAAGAAGCCAAACTAGCACCTACAGAGAAACTTCACCCTTACCTGCCAGTGTCTTTGGTACAGAAATGTACTCTGCTTGCTACTAAGAAAGAAACTGTATACCTTTTGATCTACAGTGGTGTCCTGCCTGCAAGGACAGGCTAGTGTGATGGTGACACAAAGCTTGTGGATGTAAGCAACCAATATCTACTTTGACTGAAGGCCAACTCCATGAGATGGAATCCACACTAGACACTGTTTTGGTGACCAAGAACCTGAGACTAGAATGCCCAGAGACCCAGGGTGAAACCAAATGCTACTGTTTTAAAAACAAATGACAAACAAAAACAAACAGCAAAAGTAGCAATAAAATGACTCCTACTGACATTCTACTGTACTTTTAGATCAGTGTCTTGCTCATCCATCATCAGAGAAACTTCCTCCTGCAGTAGGTAGGAACAAATACAGAGACCCACAGTCACACATTATACAGACAGCAAAAGACCTTGGAGCACTCATCTCTAAATGTGATGTCTCCTTCAACTTTTCTTCCCCACCTTAGGCCTCAGAGAACCATACAGAAGAGGCAGAAAGAATGTAGAACTAGAGCAGATGGAAGACACACACATCACACATACACACACACACACACACACACACACGCAAAACAAAACAATTCTCTCTAGATCAACATGATAAAAGCTCATATGGACCCACAGAGACCAAGGCACAGGGCCTGCATGGGTCTACACCAGGTTCTTTTACAGCTTTCAGTTTAGTGTTTCTATGGGATTTCTTTTTAAATTATTTATTTGTTCACTTTACATCATGATTGCAGCCGCTCCTCTTCTCCTCTCCTCCCAACCTCTCCATCCCACTCCTCTTCCCTGATTCTCCCCTCTTCTTCTCAGAGAACAGGGAAATCTCCTGTGGGTACCTGGCACTTTAAGTCGCTGCAGAACTAGGCATGTCATCTCCCACTGAGGCCAGACAAGGCAGCCCAGTTTGGGGGACAGGATCAAAAGGGGGGGATCAGAATCCTGCTCCAGTTGTTGGGGGATCCACATGAAGGCCAAGCTATTCATCTCCTACATATGTGCAGGGTACCTAGGACCAGTCCATGCATGCTCTTTAGTTGGTGGTTCAGTCTCTGTAAGTGCCCATGAGCCCAGGTTTGTTGGCTCTGTAGGTCTTCTTGTGGAGTCCTTGACCCCTCCAGCTCCCTCAATCATTCCCCCAGTTCTTCCATAGGACTTCCCGAGCTCTGTCTATTGTCTGGCTGTAGGTCTCTGCATCTGTTTCCATTAGATGCTGGGTGAAGTCTCTCAGAGGAGTTATGCTAGGCTCCTGTCCATAGTGTAGCAGAGCAATATTATTAGTGTCAGAGTTTGGTTCTTTTCCATGGGATGGATCTCAAATAGGGCCAATCTTTGGTTGGCTAGTCCCTCAATCTTTGCTCCATCTTTCTCCCTACACATCTTGTTGGCTGGACAGAGTTTGGATCGATGGTTTTGTGGGTGGGTTGATGTCTTTATCTCTCCACTGCCTAGCTACAGGAGGTGGCCACTTTAAGGCTCCATTTTCTCTGCTGCTAGGAGTCTCAGCTAGGTTGACCCCCATAGACTTCCTGGTGCCTCCTGTATCCCAGGTCTCTGGCAAATCCCAGAGATGTTCCCCTCCTCTGACTTTCATTCTCCCCCCCC